TAATTTGGGGGCCAGAGTTACTCTGGCCCACTTAGAACAGCCTCAAGACTGCTGAAACCTGTGCCTGCTGCAATAGCCTACTAAGAATAGTACAATGGCTCAGAAATACCAAAGCACAGGCATGCTTTTCCCAGCATGGGGATACAATAGGGTAAGCAGAGGCAAGGAGGGCTGAACCAAATGGGGCAGCTGACAACCGACACCCAGGAAAAAGCTAATCTCCTCAATGATTACTTTGCGTCGGTTTTCCACCAGCCTAAAGAGATCACCCTGCCTGACAGGACATAGGATTACCAGGGTAAGGGCAACCATATGCCTACAATTGGTGAAGACCTTGTGAGGGAACACCTTTAGAGGCTGGACATCCACAAGTCAGCGGGCCCGATCAAAATGCACCCAAGAGTGCTAAGAGAGTTGCCCGATATCATAGCACAGCCAATGGTGAGTATATTTGAGAACTCATGGTGCTCAGGAGAGGTTTCTGAAGATTGGAAGAGGGCCAATGTGGTGCCTATCTTCAACAAGGAAAGGAAGGAAGACCCAGGGAACTGCAGTCCAATCAGTTTGACCTCAATCCCTAGAAAGAACCTGGAAAAAATTATTAAAGAATCCATCAACAACAGGCTAATGGAGGGCATCATTCTGAGAGAGAGCCAACACAGTTTCAGAGCGAGCAAAAACAAGGCACAGGGTAACATAGGACCCCTACAGGACAGGCTGAATTCTTCAGTTAGTTTTTTGACTCTGTGTTTCTGAACATGGATCAAGACATATCTCCCAATTGCATTATAAATAGGCACAGAAGGAACACCAGCCCACCAACAGTCAGCACCGAGCTAGTAAAGGGACACTTATTGGGGCTGGATGTGTTTAAGTCGGCAGGCCCGGATGATCTTCATCCAAGGGTGCTGAAGGAATTGGCCAGTGTCGTAGCAGAGCCACTGGCATAGCTGTTTTAGCACTTGTGGTGCTCAGGTCAGGTCCCAGAGGACTGGAAAAGGGCCAGTGTGGTCCCTATTTTCAAGAAGGGGAGGAAGGAGGATCCAGGTAATTATAGACTGGTTAGTCTCACCTCTATCTTTGGGAAAACCTTTGAAAAAATTATCAAGGATCACATTTGTGGGAGTCCAGCAGGAAAAATAATACTGAAGGGCAAGCAGCACAGGTTCATAGCAGGTAGATCCTGCCTGACTAACCTTGTTTCTTTTTATGACCGGGTCACAAAATACTTAGATGCAGGAGTCAAGGTAGATGTCATCTACTTGGATTTTAAGAAGGCCTTCAATATGGTATCTCATCCTAGTCTCGTAAACAAACTGAGCAGCTGTGACATAGATGATTACATGGTCAGGTGGGTGACAAAATGGGTTAAGGGTCACACCCAGAAAGCGGTGGTGGACAGGTCAGTATTGACCTGGAAAGATGTGGGCAGTGGGGTCCCCCAGGGCTCAGTCCTTGGACCTGTACTATTCAGTGTCTTCATCAGCAAGTTGGATGAGGGCATGGCAAACACTCTGTCCAAATTCATGGATGACATGAAATTATGGGGTAAAGTAAACATACTAGTGGGAAGAGATCGAATTCAGGCAGACCTGGACATGTTGGAAAAGTGGGCAGAAAAGAATAGGATGCAGTTCAACGAAGACAAGTGCAAAGTGCTGCATCTAGTGGGAAGGAATCACCAACACACCTATGGGCTAGGGGATGACCATCTCAGCAGCACAGCAGCAGAAAGGGATCTCAGAGTCATAGTTGACTTCAAGATGAATATGAGCTGTTAATGTGATGAAGTAATCAGTAAAGCTAACCACACTCTATCATGCATTAGCAGGTGCATCATGGACAGGTCCAGGAAGGTGATACTTCCCTTCTATGCAGCATTGGTCAGGCCACAGTTGGAGTACTGCATCCAGTTCTGGGCACCGCACTTCAAGAGGGATGTGGATAACCTCAAGAGGGTTCAGAGGTGGGCCAATCATATGGTTAGGGGCCTGCAGGTAAGGCCCTACGAGGAGAGACTGAGGGACCTGGATCTCTTCAGCCTCCGCATAAGAAGTCTGAGAGAGGATCTTGTGGCCATTTACAAATTCATCGGGGTGGGGAGGGAGGGGGAGGCAGAAAGAAATAGGAGATGCTCTGTTTACCAAGGTATCCTTTGGAATAACCAGGAACAATGACCACAAACTGACAGAGAGCAGATTTAGGTTGGATATCAGGAAGAACTTTACGGTAAGGGTTGCCAAAATCTAGAATGGGCTTCCAAGGGAGGTGGTGCTGTCCCTTACCTTGGGGCTCTTTAAGAAGAGACTGGACAGGCACCTGGCTGGGGTCATATGACCCTAGCACTCACCCAGGGCAGGGGGTAGGACTTGATGATCTATTGAGATCCCTTCTGACCCTAATAGCTATGAAACTATGAAACATAGAGAAATGCAAGGTGCTTCACCTCAGGAGAAAGAACCCATATCATACTTATAGGCTCAGCAGTGCTACGCTCACTAGCACCATGACCGAAAGAGACTTGGGAATCATGATGACCACAAAATGAAAATGACCAGCCAGCGAGGCAAATAAAATCCTGTCTTGCATCTACCGATGCATCTCAAGGAAGACCCAAGATGTCATCCTCCTGCTTTACTTGATCTTGGTGAGGCCACAGCTGGAGTACTGCATCCAATTCTGGGCTCCACACTTTAGAAAGGATGTGGAGAAGCTTGAGAGAGTCCAGAGGAGAGCCATACGCATGATCAGAGGTCAGAAGAGCAGGTCTTATGAGAAGAGGCTGAGAGGCCTGGGACTTCTCAGCTTGGAGAAGCCTAGGCTCAGGGGGAACCTGGTGGCAGCCTATAAGTACATAAGGGGTGTGCATCAGGATCTGGGAGAATGTCTGTTCACCAGGGCACCCCAAGGGAAGAGGAGGTTAAATGGTCACAAACTGCTGGAAGACCGTTTTAGACTTGACATAGGAAAACATTTCTTTACTGTCCGACTCTCCAGAGTCTGGAATAGACCTACTTTGGACACGTTCAAGAATTTGGATGATTATCTTGCTGGGGTCATCTGACCTCAGCTGACTTTCCTGCCTTTTGGGCAGGGGGCTGGACCCAATTATCTCACAAGGCTCCTTCGAGCCCTAATGTCTATGAAATCTATGAAGGAGGCCAAGAAATAGGTGGCATCAAACTAGCTTGATGCTATCTGAGAGTTCCTGTGAAAGAGGAATCACAGAATTGCTCTTTCATCCAGCTGTCTACTACTTTTGGGCTGCCAGGATGGCAGACCAGAATGGTGAAAGGACTGATATTTGGACCTGATTCAGCAGATCACTTAAACACACACTTAACTTTAACTACATACATAGTCTCTTAACTTGGGTTAAGAGACTTGGGGGTCATCATTGACCACACGATGGACATGAACCTGCAATTGGTTGCTTTACTAGCTGCAGCATCACAAACGCTGGCTTGCATCCACAGATGCTTCTCAAGCAAATCCCGGGACATCATTCTCCCTTAGTACTCAGCCTCGGTGAGGCTGCAGCTGGAGTACTGCGTCCAGTTTTAGGCCCCACAATTCAAAAAGGATGTGGAGAAGCTTGAGAGAGTCCAGAGAAGAGTCATGCGCATGATCAGAGGTCAGGAAAACAGACCTTATGATGACAGGCTGAGAGCCATGGGGCTCTTTAGCCTGGAAAAGCGCAGGCTCAGGGGTGATCTGATGGCCACCTATAAGTTTATCAGGGGTGACCACCAGTGTCCGGGGAACGTTTGTTCACCAGAGCGCCCCAAGGGATGACGAGGTCAAACAGTTATAAACTCCTGCAAGACCGTTTCAGGCTGGACATAAGGAAGAATTTCTTTACTGTACGAGCCCGCAAGGTCTGGAACAGTCTGCCATTAGAGGTGGTTCAAGTACCTACATTGAACACCTTCAAGAGTAAATTGGATGCTTATCTTGCTGGGATCCTATGACCCCATGACCCCAGCTGACTTCCTGCCCTTCAGGTGGGGGGCTGGACTTGATGATCTTCCGAGGTCCCTTCCAGCCTGAATGTCTATGAAATCTATGAAACTTCAGTGGGAGTCAATATACAATATTTGCTGAATTGTGCTTGGGCCAGTAAAATAGTATTATACAAATTTTATACAACAGATATGGGTCCAAATTGGATCAAACAAGTTCTCTGGTGACAGTCAAATTATCCACAACTTACCAAATTTTTAATTTCACCACAGCTCAAATGGAAGTAGACTCTTTAAGAGTGATTTTATAATTTCAACCAATAAACTTCCATTTGTTATTTTACAAATTTGTCATAGGGATCTGGCATTAGAATGTGAATCCCCTGAGTAATTTTTTTAAAGCACCAAACATAGATGCTGAGAGTGGGAGGGAGGGGGTGCTAAGATGATAGACATGTGGAAAGTTGTACACATTTCAGGTGACAGCACTCTTCCTGAGGTGGACCAGGGCCCTTGGGCCCCCATGTACTAGGCACCCATGCACCAAAGTGATTTAGGATGTTCAGCTGAGGCATACTAAGAACTGAAATTAAGATTGCCTTGGAAAAAATGTTTATAGACTTAATTGGCTTCTTTAACACCAAGAGAAAACAATTACTGTTTTGTGAATAAACGTTTGTGAAAAAGCCTCTTTGGGCCTGATCAGACCTTACCCTCTAAGCCAAACAAATGTTAATCAGCTTAGTGCTGTTCAGCTTAGTGAAACAGTCACACAGTAAGGCAAAAAACCTGCTCTGACTGCCTCTCACCTGCACAACTGTGACTTGTCATTAGAGGCTTGGTGAGCAGGGGCAGGACTAAGAGGAGCTTGCTAGGGCATAATTGTGTCCTAGCAAAAAATCTTTTATTTGGATTTAGAACAAAAAAAAATAACACTTCCAAAAAGTTCTTCATAATCAGGAAATGCCACAGATTTTAGATAATATCAAAACATTTGGGATAGACTTTTCCAAAATAGAGAAGCTTGTTCTTCTGGCATCTGGCGACTCCCTGGACCACACCCAATAGCAACAAGTCTCAAAGCCCTGGAGTGGTTTCGGGTGATCTGCATGGTAGAGCTGTCCCCAAGCTGAAAACCAGAGATCCTGAGCAGTCCAGTAGGCAAGCTGGGAGAAAACCCATCAGAAGCCTTGCTCCATTTAAACAAAGTTCATCATAATCAATATAGTCCAGCAAGATGGGCCTCTTTTAACATATAGGTTTTTGGCAGAAGAGTCCTGATCATTTAAATTCCTAAGAATAGATACTCTTCTGGAAATATTATATATTAATTCTACTTATTGTAAACATATTAATTAAGGTATTGAATGTCTTCACCAAACCAAAGTATTTTTTGTGGCAGTCAAAAAGGCATTTCCCAGAAAAAGAAAAATATTGATCAAAACAAATGGCAATAGTTTTAGTGAGATCATAATTGCACAGATTTTCCTCATGAATGGGCAGATTAAGAGGGTAAAAAAACCCCAACAACTTTATAAGTAAGCACAACTATGCCTGCTTCACTCTGCTGCTAGGTCTGTGAAACAAAAGTGGATGCTTCAAAAATCCAGTGTAAGCTCTGACACCTTTCACCTGCCCCACAGCCCTTTAGTATTAAGCAGAGCTGCAAAATCCTAGAAAAATTATCCCTAAGAGGATTCAGTGCTTTGGTTTGATGTTATCAATCGCCATTACCCTGACCTAGTTTGGAAGTCAACCTTCCAAAAAGCTTGGGTTGTACAGGTCTCTGGAGTTGTGGTTCTGACTCATCTCTGCTAGCAGCAGCATTAGTTTTTTTGAGAGTTACTTCATATAAAAGTAAAGCCCTTAAAAATACTAACTAAACAAACGTGAACTCTTTGGTACTGAATTACCTATGAAAGTGAGTGATTACTGAATTGGAGTGGGGAGGGGGAGAGGGTGCATGGGGGAAAAGCACAATACTTGCAAGGCAAGGTATTATTTTATAATGGCCCACTGCCATCCTTGATGATTAGTTAATTTCCCCCAATTACTTGTCCTCACAAGATTTTCTGTATCATTATTAGGAAGAGCTCAAATTGATACTGATGTAGAACTTGATTTCGCAAAATGCATCCACCTTGTAGCCATAAAACAACCAGAATCATTGGAAGATGATGTAAGTGGTATGGAAAATATTAAAACTATAGGAGAGCTAATATTACTCTACAACTCTGCAAAACTTTATACATGTGAATTTTCAGGCATGGGAGTAGTTTGGGGACTATAGTGGAGGCCTAGTAGATGTGTCTACATGAGATGATTTACTGTGCAGTAGGCTAATATACTGCACAGTAAAGCATCACCCTGTAACTGTATGCATAAACTAAATACAGGTACTAAACTAACTGCACAGTAGGGCTCATGTAGGTGCTGACTAGGACCAAATTTGCTCCCAGTCAACCACACCAGCAGAAAGCCTGGTCTTGGCACTGCTCAGCTCTTGGCTCACCCAGGAGCTGGTAATTCATCGGTGTGGGGACCAGGTCCCTCTCTGCCCTCCTCCTCCATCCTGGTGCTGCGGGGCTCCTGGATCACCACAGGAGTGGGGAGCTGAGTAGCGCCAGGACTGGGGAGCTGTTCCCTCCCTGCTCATCTAAGAGACTCTCCGCTCAGCCAGGGGCAGCTGGGAGCTGCCCCGCTAGTGTGGCAGCCAGCTGCGAGCCCCTGGCTCTGCAGGAATTTGGACAGTCAGGGCAGAGGGCCTGGAAAGAATTGCAGGGGAGGGGACTCTTTCCCAGACTCCCTGACCGGGTTGTCTAATAGGGGCAGGAGGCTGGGAAAGAGCTGTGCGGGAGGGTACCATATGCTTAGAGCTCCCCCTGGCTACCATATGGCAGGAGAGGAGGGTAGGTGTTCATTCCCCTGCCCTGAACTGCTCCTGTGGGTAGATGTGCTGTCACAGAAAGCTAACTGCACAGTATTTTACTGTGCAGTAAGCTTTTTGTGCATTAATTGCACATGTAGATGCACCCAGTGAGTACTGAAATTAAGATTGCCTTGGTAAATTGTATATAATATCAATTGACTTCCTCCAAGTGTCACAGAAACTAATTAATAGTTATAGAATCTGTCACACACCTTCCCAAGTGGTTAAAGTAAAACCTACAGCTTTGCAGAACTAATGCCTTAGAGTCTGAATTTGGGGCAGGTACCACATATTCTTGTGTATTCATACGGTATCCAGGTAGCTGCATTGGTCTAGAGGAAAAAGCAATCAGGGCTCATAGTAGAGGTGATATCTTGAGCAATTGAACTGAGCCAGAAATGTTTAATTCAGTTGTTTAAAGGCATCTCCACCTCATCCTGCCCAAACCCAACCCAATGTATTATTATTGTTATAGTTGTGCTTACAGGCCCCTATTTGTCTGGGATCCCCATTGTGCTAGGTGCTGTACAAATATACAAATACACAATCGGGGCTCATAGTAGAGGTGATGTCTTTTATTAGACCAACAAGATTTTTGCAAAAAAAAATCTTTAATTTTAAGCTTTCGGACACAAACACCCTTTTTCAGGCATTGGAGAAAAGATTGTAAAAGTCCTCCTGGGTAGAAATTTTAGCCAATTTTTTAAAATGAAATTTTCATAATTTCCCAAACAGGAAGCAATTTTTTACTGCCTTTAACCTGAGATACTGCTCCTGCCTTTGCTCAAGGTAATTTGCATATCACAAAGCATCTCAAGAGAGCTGAGAGACACCTATCAGCTAAGAACTGTGCGCCCAGAGGAGTGAGCTTTCCATCTTTTGACTCCTCTGTGAAACCCTGTGAAATATGAGCTTTCATTTCTACCCAGGAGGACTTTTACAATCTTTTCTCTGATGCCTGATGAAGGGTGTTTGTGTCCGAAAGGTTGCAATTAAAGAATTTTTTTTGCAAAAATCTTGTTGGTCTAATAAAAGATATCACCTCTACTATGAGCCCCGGTTGTGTATTTGTATATTTGTACAGCACCTAGTACAAGGGGGATCTCAAACTAATTAGGGCCTGTAAGCACAGCTATAACAATAATAATATATTGGGTTGGGGAGGATGAAGTGGAGATACCTTTAAACAACTGGATTAAAAATTTCTGGCTCAGTTAAATTGCTCAAGAGATGTAAAAAATGAGAAATTAAAGGAGTTATTTCTAAGACAAAAATAAGAAGCTCTCTGTTCCAAAATTAGACAGCTTTTCTTAATCCAAGTAAAAAAGTTCATATCTGGAAGCCCTCCATGATGGGGAAATAAGTGACGATGGTGATAGTGCTGCTTTTAAAATCTATTTTTCCCATATCAGTGCTCCTAGCAGTTGCAAAGAGGTACTAACAGATTGAAAGAGAAATGGAAACAGTGGAGTGGGCATGTGTGTTATCAAGTATAACAGCAGGTGAATGGGTCTAATGAAGAGATTGCCATTATCTTAAACCATATTTCCCACTATGATTCTATCTGCAAGTTTCATTTTGGAACATGCTAAAATATAGCACATACAGCATTGAAAGTTTGTATGTGTGTTTGCATCTAGGTGTACAGAATCAAAGAAAATAGGGCTGGAAGGGACCCCAGGCTGGTATCTAGTTCAATCATCTGCTCAAGGCAGGATCATCCTTGTCTAAACCTTGTATAGTCAAAGCCCCAAACTTTGCTAATATTAAAATAACCATTTTGTTAAAAAACAAAAAGTATAAAGGACACAAACATGGGAAGAAAATGTAGAAGCAGGAAATATGTAGGACCGGATTCTACTCCCATTTGATTTCAGTCTTCACCGAAATCAACGGAGTTCCTCTGGCATAGAACTGACAATAGTAGAACCCAAGCCAAGGGCTATAAAAAGTCCTTGTTGGTTTATGACAACTTATCCAGAATAACTAACCAGTAAAATCTGAGCACTAAAACATCTCTGAGTTGCATTTAAGTGCTGTTTTTTATTTTATGATTGTAAAAAGGAGAAAATAAAGTACCTTTTCCTAAATGATCAAAGACCCAGTGCAAAAAAAGTTAGGGGGATTTAAAAAAAAATAAATAAAACCAACATTCCTGTCTTAGCAACTGGTCTCTTTCCAAAATAGGAGCAAGATGAATTTTTATTTGTATTTCCTTTTTAAATAAAAGGAAGCTGCCAAAATATGTAAGCAGGAGGATTAGGACCAGTGATTTTTCTCTTGTTTTTGCAGCAAGAATGTTGCCAGGCAAAGCTTCATGCTAAAGTCCCCACAGAATTTCACTTTCAGTCCCAGCTTTTGGATTTCCCCTCCCTTGGGAAACTCTCATTGAAAGAGATATTCATATCTAGGAATCAACTCAATGCACAATTGTTGCACAGGAAAATTGGCTGTTGGCTTTTGAAATGCTGTTCTGCATACTAGGCTCTGCTGACTTTATCTGGGTTAAGATGACTTGTCAGTGGTGCATATTTCAACAGCAAAATTGCAAAGTACCATGGGTAATGCAAAGTGAATTCTCACAAAAGCAGTAAAAGAGACTTACCCTCCGTATCAATAGCTGCCGGCACAGTATCTCCACAGTTGCTTGCCAAAGCTGAACAATGACCACAGACACACATTTCTGTCCTTTTGGAGCCCATGATGATATTGCAGCTGTTGTTCTAGTAGGAAACAGAGAGCTATCTCTTTCTATTAATCTATCTTGTACCAGTCGTTCTGCTTGTCTTGTAGCTCTGCTTTTATCTATCAAGACAAGAGAAATGAATATTCTAAAAAGAAACTGCGCTGTCTCAAAGTCTCCTTATTGCCTACACAGATGAAACCAAAGCAGTCAGAAAAAATAAAAAACCCAATAAACCAAATTCAACAACAACAACAACAAATACTGCAGTTAGCTGGAAGGAGACATTCTTTTGGCGACTCACACAAAAATCAGTCTATACAGTAATCCCACTACAGTAATCAGGCTATACAGTAATCACACTACTCAGAATTTCCAGATTCAGATGAACAGCTGGGGCCATGTCTAGATAGTAAACTTGCCAATACCTGACAATGGTTCACTCTAGGACACCCTGCTGCTCTGTGTAGGCTATGCCCTAAATCAGAAGCAATGTAGCTGTATCCATGCGTTGCTTCAAGTGGGCTAATGAGCACTGCTGAGTGAAAGGTCTGATTAGCTTCCCCTTTCTCTTCCCACTCCTCTCCCCTTAAGTAGTTGATTTGTAATGTAGTGTTTAGAAGGCAGGTTTCACAGACTACCTCAATAGGCTTGAGGTCACCACAGCTGAAGATGTTAAGTTTATATTAAGTAGACTGCATTGTTTAGATGCCTCATGAGACTTCTTGCAGTTCTGTAACCAAACCATATAAAGTAGGGAGGCTGTTCCTGTGGGTATGGTATTAGATTGAGTCTCCTGAGTTCAAGTCCCAGCTCTGCAGTGTACTCTCTGCGTGATTTGAGGCATGTCACTAACTCAGTGTCAGTTTCCCAATGGTAGCAGTAAGGTTCTTTCTCTACCTCTGGCTGCTGTTGTAAGGGTAAATTCATTAATGGTTGTAAGATGCTGTTGTGATAAAAGCCAGGAAACACCCATAAAGAAAACTAATAGTCCACCATGTGGATACTGGGAAGTTAATTTATGCGCTTTGGCAAGATTTTTCAGCTTGGTTCATTACACTGGATAGAAGAAAGGAAAACAGAAACAAACCGGCATCATAAATCAGATTTATGAGCCATCAAGATTATCTCTGACCCATGCACTACTGTAATCATGGGATATAAAACATTTTCTCTAATCATTACAGTAACATGTTGTTTAAGTTTATTATAAATGCACAGAGATTTGCATTTTTATTAATGTTCAGTACTGATGTCAAAACTAAAACTATACTCGAGTCTCCTGTAGTATGGTGCCATATGGAAACCTCAGATGAGATCAAAGCCATCTTGTGCAAGGCATTCTCTATACATACAGTAAGAGGCAGTAAGTGCCCTGAAGGGCTTATATACTAAATAGATAGACAACGTTTTGGAGGGATAACTGAGGGATAGCAAGGTGTAGTCATTTTCTCAAGGTCAGTGCTGGGCTAGTAGCAGACTAGAGATTGTAATTCAGGTCTTCTGGTTTGCAGAGCCAATGCCCTGCTTAATAAACAGCACTGCCTCCCAGTTGAAGTTTAATGAGAATCAGGACTGATGAACAGGTCCACTGCTAATGAGCATTATTCTATGTAGCTACAGACTTAAACCATTTCTAAATGCAGGTGGAAGAAGCACATTCACAAAGAACAGTGCATACCTCTTAAAAACCACAAAGCAGCATTTTTACAGGCATACCTGGTCATTATGCCTACCTGTTTTGAGCAAAACATTCATTTGCGCATGGAAAAAGATGAACATATTGATATAATGGAAATGAATGATTTTTTACAAATGCAGCCATTGCACTATGCAACTATTGGTTTCGTATTTGTATCTCTTTAACTGTAAACAGCAGTGCATATTTGGACTGTGTGTTTTATCCTTGTCCCTCACCCTACCTAACCTGTCTGGCCATTTTGACCAGTCCCAAACTATACAAGAAGACCCAGCATGCTCAGTGAAGTAAAGGTTGTGAAATAATGGTTACAGCCAGAAAATGAACTGCATGGCCTCTACAATCTATCCAGCCCCATGAACTTTGCAGGAGAAAGGCTGGTAGAATCCCTTTCTGAAACTAGTAGTTCTCAACCTTTCTTTTAGACTCAAAGCATGCCTCAGAAAATCACAGAATGATAGAAAATTAGGTTTGGAAGGGACCTCAGGAGGTCATCTAGTCCAACCCCCTCCTCAAAACAGGACCATCCCCAACTACATCATCCCAGTGAAGGTTTTGTCTACCCTGGGTCTTAAAAACCTCCAAGGATAGATATTCCACATCCTCTCTGGGTAACCTGTTCAAGTGTTTTACTACCCACCTAGTGAGAGAGTTTTTTCCTAATATCTAACCTAAACTTCTCTTGCTGCAACTTGAGACCATTCCCCCTTGTTCTGTCATCTGTCACCACTGAGAACAGTCTAGCTCCACCCACTTTGGAACCACCCTTCAGGTAGTTGAAGGCTGCTATTAAATCCCCCCTCAGTCTTCTCTTTTCTAGACTAAATAAGACCAGTTCCCTCAGCCTCTCTTCAGAAGTCATGTGCCTCAGCCACTTAAGCTTTTTTGTTGCCCTCCACTGGACTCTCTCCAATTTGTACACATCCCTTCTGTAGTGGGGGGCCCAAAACTGGACTCAGAACTCCAGATGTGGTTTCAACAGTAATGAATAGAGGGGAATAATAACTTCCCTTGATCTGCTGGCAACACTCCTGCCAATGCAGCCTAGTATGCCATTAGCCTTCTTGGAAACTAGGGCGCAGTCTTGACTCATAATCAACTGATTGTCCACTGTAATCCCCAGGTCCTTTTCTGCAGAGCTGCTGCCCAGCCAGTCAGTTCCCAGCCTTTACTGGTGCATCGATTGTTCTGTCCTAAGTGCAGGACTTTGCACTTTTCCTTATAGAACATCATGAGATTTCTTTTGGTCCAATCCTCCAATTTGTTGAGGTCTCTTTGGATCCTAACCCTACTCTCCAGCATATCTACTACTGCTCCCAGCTTGGTATCATCTGCAGACTTGCATTATTTTGAACACTGTGGTCTTTGATGATTTAGTCTTCTTATAAAAGTGGATTTTCATCTGATAAACCTTAGCTCTGCTCACCTGATAAATCTTAGCTCTGCTGTTTACAGTATTCAGGAGTGCTAGAGAGACTATTTAACATGCATATTATTGACCTGATAGATCATACCAATGCTTCTGAAGCTGTAACAGTCCATCGTATTAATGCTGGTGCTATACATGCACAATGACTTAGTATATTCAACATTCAGATGAAACTTTGGTTGACAAAAATCCACTATGGGACACAGTGGCTGCTTTTCTAAACTAAGTAGCCAGGCTGTTGTTAATGTCTTTTTCTGATGTATTCAAGTGTATCGGTTCATACTGTAGGCTAATCGCCTGCAAAATCTCAGTTCAAGAGACAAAACCTCTGTTGAATTTTAATAGCTCCAAAGTGTCAATTTACATTTTTCCCCATTGTTAACACATCAGTTGAAACCAAACTAGGCTGGGTTTTTAGTGCTTTTTCTTTTTTTGCAATTTACAAACACATACATTAACAAATGTCTTCAGTTTTTTCAGAGCTGATCTTAACACACACAATTTATTAATTGTATTACTTGTAAGGCCTAATAACTCTAGTTTTGGATAAGGACACTATTGTACTATGCACATTAATAGAGTATGTGATTAAGTCCTATTGGAAATTTTCCTAAATTAGGATGTCTTCCTGACTAGGAGATGAGAAACTGGTTCTACCGCCTTGGTCCAGATCATACCTTTCTTTATAAATGGTGTGGGTGTATGCATGCATACTAATTTGGGCATTGTGTCCGTATACAGCTTATGAATTCTGCTTAATATTGGAAACTATATTGTACTTGTGTTGGACTTGAGTTCCGTTTTGTGTGTGGAGGTTGTTTGCTGCCTCTGCTGTCATTTGCCTCCATATTGAACTAATGCCACATGAGGTGACAGGAGAAAATCTTGCACTTGACAAAGGACTAATGATGGGGTGTCATTAAATGTTGCTGATTGTCCAATTCATTGAAGAAACTACTTGGATAAGAAATAGTACTGCTCAGAGCAAACCAGTGTTCAAGACTAAAGCCCCAGAGAGCAGTCATTAGGCAATGGGTCAGCTGGTAGGGGAATCGATATCCTCAGAAGGCTGGCCAAATGATCCCCTGATAAAGGGGACTGGAATTATCTGAGGAAGAACTTCTCATTATCCATTTTGGAGAGCACAAAGAGACCCAAAGTAGAAAGTTGGCTGTAGGAGTAAGAAAAGACTGAGTTCTGGAGAAGAAGCCACATGAATTCTGACCTAAGACCAAAAAATACTTGAGATCAGTGAGAAAACTAAGGCAGGGAAATGTGTGTAGTTGTTTTGTTTTTTTTATATCATTGTCACTTTTTCTAGATCTGTATATTACTTCTGCTAGCAAAAGTAAGGTATATTTGATTTTGGGGACTATTACAACATCTGTACACGTTTGTTTCATATATTACATGTCCCAGAAAATCTCGCTTGTAGACACAAATGTTGGGATTCTGGAAAAGCATGAGATTTGGCTACTGGAGGTCATCACTGGTCCTGGGGGTCTGACAGCTGGTCCTGGATGTCCTACTTCCATAAAGGAGCTGTGGACAATGTCTGTACCAAAGAAGCATGCCAGAGGGTAAAACCAGAGATGGTGCTGGAGCCAAATGAGACCCACAGAAGCTAAAATACATAGGTGCAGTATGCTACCCCCCAACACAAAGCAGCCTGGGGAAGGTCCATAAATTGAAAAGGTGAGAAGGTATCCCTTGTATACCAAGTAGATGAGCAAACTGGGGTGTGATTGGATCACCTCCTAACTGCCTCCAGCAGGCTGATTTAATTTGAAACAACACTTACTGTCCACCAGTCTTGGTGGATCCTTTTTGTTCTGCCAGTCCAACTATTCATAGTGTAACAGGGAGCTATTAAATCCCTGTTACTTGAAGAGACAAGGAATAAGACCCAAGATGAGAGACAGCATAGTGCCCGCGAGATGGAGTAGTCAGGTAGTAGTCTGCTTCATGGGTCAGCCCACCTAGAAAGTGTTAGGGATCTGACTCACAACAGGTGAGGCAAGGTGACGATAAAAACGGAAGTCAACATGGTAACAACCACCGGAAAGGGAGCAGCAAGAGAAGTTGAGAGAGACTTGCAGAGGAGTGAGAGTTCCCCTGTGTGGAGGTGCAGGGTAGGAACAAATTTCATCAGAGCAGGTAGACAACCTGCCATAGAGGAGGACCTGTTTATATACTTACCTGACTGGTCAGCTGAGATGGCACTTGATCAGCAGGTAAGACGCAGTAACATTGTAAAGAGAGAGAGAGAAGGCACAATAAGTTATGGGCGAGTCCAGCCAGCAACCGGTCACCAGAGTTAAAGACTGATATGAACTGAGTAACATTCATAGAGTCCTGCGCCTACCTTGGGGTGGTGGGAGACTATTAGGACTGGTAACAGGGTGACATCCTACTGAG